GGAATGGTTTCGCTTTCTTATAACGGTACTTTCGTCTCTTTCTGTGGCATATTACACATCTACGTCAGTTTTCAACACATGTTCATAAAGAGTTATGTTACCAGAAAAGATTTTAGTCTCCACACACGTTCCATATTTTAAATAAATCAATCTCTCCAGTCCACACTTAATTAATCACCAAGAACCCAATGCACTTAATGTTGGTGTAGTCAAAATCCGGTCGTCAAAAAGGTTCTCAGTTCTTTCATAATATTATGCATGTATGCATCTTCACGTTAAATCATGCATTGCATTAATTTACCCTTCGCCGTTAGCGAACACGTCTGTCAGAGGGCCGCCTAGTGTCAAAGAACTGTCCTAGTTGTTCTATGTTGGCACAATTCAGACTAAGTTAAAGCAGTGACCGAAGTACATGTATTATATCATAACTGCAACTATCACCTGCATTAAACAGTGATAATATACGAGACATGGATGAATTGACATTTGCATGATTGTTGATATGTCTGTCACTTTGCATTCATGATTTGGACTACGATAAAGACGGCGTATAAACAGCAGTTATCAAACCGATTTGAGTGTTTTGTCCAGCTCATGCAAATAATCGAGGTATGCCAGATCATGTACCATAGTCAGTCAATTTTAATGAAGAATAGACATCTCTGTTGCAAGAATACAAAATTGAAAAATAAAAACAATTAAAGCATGTACCTATTTTGATTTGTAGCATATTATGTTCCCGATGTGTTTTTTTTAGGTATCGTCACTATTTGATATTTATTCATCAACATATGCTTAGTCTGATACAGAAGATGGCTGAAAGGGTGTTTCATCAGAGTCACAGCATTCGAGACCTTAGCAAAACTTGCAAATAGGACGTTTCGAAATCTGGCGAATCAGTGAACACAATGATGTCCGACGCACTTCTCTATCTTCCCATGTTTGTTCAAATACTTGACTTGCCTTTGCATGTGTTTGTGAGGGTGCCACTGGTTGAATTGCCTATTCGCGAACGCTTGGTATGGTCATTGTTATTTCATAAACACATACTCATAACATAGTCGGACTTGTAAATGGATTAAAATTTCTTAGGATTGTGGAAAAGGTTTTGTCGCTTCTATAAGCCTTCGAGTATGTACACTGTATGAACAGCGGTAAAATGCTGTACTCTACCTCCAAAATTCTTCGGCAGCAGTAATACCAGGAGTTGAGTTTGAAGTCAGATTACCAATATCAGGAACCAAATCAGTGATGTTAAACCGAGTTGAATTACGGTCCACTGAGATGCAGTCTGGTGTATTCCAGGCGTTACCACAGTGTTCCCAAGGTAGGATGGTGTAAAAGGAGTAGTAGAAGTAGTATGTGATCCAGCTGAACAGGACGTTGTAGTAGGTGTAGAACATCCACGAACACAGCACACACCCCACGCCGATACCTGGGAAGCGGAACGTGTTACCATGCTCATTCCATCAACCTCTGCTTTGCATGCTGCCATTATTCACAGGCCGTTATAAAATAATGATACAACTGGAATATTATTTTTACTTTGGCGTTCACCACTCACTCACTCACTCACTCAATCACTCACTCACGAACTCACGAACTCACTCACGAACTCACTCACGAACTCACGAAATAACATCAGATTGTTTAACCGACTTGTACAACGTCGTATTGTCGCAGACCTGGCACGTACAACGTGTGTGTTGGCTGATTGTGCCAAGGTGTCCCGACGACAGGGACTCTCTGCTTATGGTTCAGTATCAGTTATTTACACACCACCGTGACATGTTATATCATGCCTGTGGAATAACACAGATGTAACATTTAACTCACTCACTCACAACGGCGAAGGACACCCTTACCTTTAAATGCGGGACATATATCCCAGACTTTGATAGGTCCACTCTGAGAATACTGACCAATCGCCATCTCCAGAAAAACACATGGGATGGCTCCAATGAGGGTAAAAAGGACGAAAGGTATCAGGAACGCCCCTGAAATGAGGAATGGCGGCCACATATCCAAGCAAGGACTACAAGGACATGACACCATGGTAGAATCGATTGAATCTTAATGATCACTTGTCTGTAAACGTATAAAGTACGTTGTAGTTGCCATTATCAACTGCTTGACCCTGCAATTTTGACTTACATCAAAGAGAGGCTACTGCCGTCAGAAGGTAGATGAAGTGATATAAGTCTTTGTAACTTGTACAATAAAAGTAACAACTCCATTACATGGGTCAATAGTATGCACCAAGTTGGTCTCTTAGAGTACAAGATAAGTCCCAAGATAAGTCCAACCATCTGTTGAGATGTGTTTTCTATAGTTCTTCTCGAGGAAAAAAAACATGACTAAAATAGATCGAATAGACTGTATTAGATAGTTAATCCGTTAATTACCTCCTCCATTGCGCATGCAGTAGAACGGGAACTTGATGAATGTGCCGGACCCGACACTGAACCCCAGCAGCGTGATGATGTAGTCCAGTTGATTCCGCCATTGCTGGTGCGCCATGACAGAATAACCTGAGCATGAATCAGTCAGAAAAGCATGTTTGCATGTTTACAGGCCTTTGTATTTGTTTGTGAAGGACCGCCTCCGTGGTCTTGTGGTAGAGCGTCCGCCCGGAGAGCGGAATGTCCAGGGTTCGATCCCCGGCCGCGTCATACAAAAAGACGTTAAAAGATTGTACTTGTTGTTACCCTGTCTGGCGCTCGGCAATAAGGGGCTAAAACAAGGACTGGTCGGCTCGGAGTCAGTATACTGTGTCTGAGTGGGGTATTCATGTTAAACTGCGGCATGGTATCTCAGTGAGCTAGCACTATAAATCGGCATCAGTCCGGACTAGTACAAGCAGCCACACACACACATACACGTGCATGCACGTCGCTATATAAGTGCAATAATCTTGGACGCGACGTTAAACCCAATTTCACCTCACCTTGTATTTGTTTATGACCGGTGCCACAGGTGGGACAGGATATGCCCACCTTTTCGTGAACGCCTGGTATCATCAATATTTGATAGTAATATATAAACACCTGCTTTTACTTTTACCATTTTGAAACTTAAAATATTCAATAATTATCACTAGTGTGAAGTATGCGAACTAATGTAGGCCCAAAAGCAACTCGAATTGGGTAAGCATGTCTTGCAAGCGTCCTTTCATCCTGAACAAAATTAATGTACTCATTTTGCAAAAAGAAATGATTGTTAGTCGGGCAAAATGATCCTCGTTCATTCTGGAAACCTTTTAAACTCTTGATGTATCAAGGATACGTGAAACCGTACCGCAAACTTCTTTGACTACTTTCGCAAACTGAATGATTACATCGAGATGATTACGTATGTGGGCGACATGGGTGGCCCAGTCGTCTAAGGCGCCGCAATTTGCTGTATATAATTGTGTTTTTTGGGAACGCAGAAACCTATGGTTGTAGGTTTAAATCCCGGTTCACCCAGATTGTGCTTATAGGTTTGTCAGCACCACAACCGTGCTCGTTGGTTTCACCGAAGTGGTAAACGGCTGAGACTTGCAATTACATCACTTCGGGCATTCCTCGGCATAAGCTGACACGCTGTGATTAACTGGAATACTGTTCAATGCCTCGTTATACCCATCTCTTTCACTCATAAGTAATGTTTATGAATCAATATCAGTGAGTGAGTGAGTGAGTGAGTATGGTTTAACGCCTTTAGCAATATTCCAGCAATATCAAGGCGGGGGACACCACAAATGGGCTTCACACATTGTACCCATGTCGGGAATCGAACCCGGGTCTTCGGCGCGACGAGCGAACGCTTTAACCACTAGACTACCCGACCGCCCCGAATCAATATCAACTAGTGCGGGTACAATCCCAAGTCACCCGTCACAAACACAAGTCGTGTTTTTACCAAAACAAACACCGGAACATTTTTGAACAAATCAAAATAATAATTCACAATTTATAAGACATAACCCACTTGGAAACGCCTTCCATGTGTACCTAAGGTGAACAGTTATGCCTATACATGTTTTGTTAAATCGGGCGATTTTGCGAGAAAATAAAGATGACGCTTGGGTATGCCGGATTTCACTGTGATGTGAGGAATACATGTAATTGCCTACTTACCGGTTTCCTGAGAGGTACTGACGTTACGAGACCCTGAGTGTTACTGTCGTGGTACGCTCATCAATCTCTCTTGGCCATGCAAGTCACGTATGTCACGTCTGTATCACGTGGTTTACATCAGGGGTTTTGTAAGAAGGTGGAGTGGTTGACCAAAGGGTATGATGTGACGCACAGAATGTCACGATAAGCTGATCTTCGTTTGAATACCAGATAACGATCTCATATTCCCAGATTCTTTATTTATGTATGCGAGGCCACATGGCCAAAAGTATATTTGAATTTTAACAAAAGATGCTTACGTCTGCTTGTATACTGACCAAACGAGTGAGTGAGTATGGTTTTACGCCGCTTTTAGCAATAGAAATGGGCTTCACACATTGTACCCATGTCGGGAATCGAACCCGGGTTTTCGGCGTGACGAGCGAACGCTTTAACCACTAGGCTACCCGACCGCCCCTCTGACCAAACGAGAGATGGTAATGACCTGATAACAAACGACGCAAACAACCGAAAAAGACGACAGGGGTGTGTAGATATGAAATAAACGTTTGTGTTCATTTGATCAATAATTGGTCAAACATTTGTTTATACTGCATGGCATGGTCCGAATCAATCTCGCAATGACAATTTGAAGGTGTCTTCGCCATTCCTCTTGCAGTGCCTTGCCCAGTTCGGCTAACGTTTCGAGAATCTGGACTCATCTGAACACATCAAAGGAGACCATTCCCCCACTTTCTAGCGGATTTTAACGATTTACAATTTCACGGAAGTTTCGACATCAAGAATATCCCTTTCCTTGTTTGTTGGGTCTATCGGGTTTAGTTCCGCAGCCTTTCTAAACAGTTATTTCTTCTACTACCGATAATAACATTTATACATAAATAACCCCTACATTTTGGGGGGAGTGCATATCTATATCTCCAAACCGTCCCATCTTTTTGTATTTGTTTGCTTTGTCTGACCTGTATACATGTTGGGACACAAAGCATAATTCACATCATACAATTTCCAAAGTACATATATATAACGAAACAACTCAGATTATGCTTGCAGTTATGTATGTTTGATAGACTGGTATATCACAACGATTCTGGCACGATTGAACTGAAACTCAGCATAAAGAATGAATTGATAAGAATGTCTAATAATATAAATACTATCGAGTGAATTTCATGGTGACTGTCTGCAAGAGCAGGTGGTACCAAAATGATATTCAACATATACTGAACAACAAAAGTTCCTGTGACATTGGTTATGTTTTTTACCAAATCTGAAACAATTTCGGTTTGCAACAGATAAAAGACTCCTGTAAGTGTTCAAATGGTTTAATTTGCCATACTGACTTCAGAAAATCCGTGATTTCATAAAAAACATGAACATGCCAAAATGTTAATTTGGAAATCAATAGCGTGTGTGTCCACCTCTGGTTGCGATGCAAGCAACGTACGGTTTGTGAAGATATTCGTCGAAGGCCAGGGATGCTTCCTGCAGTCACTGTTGCTGGCTGGGATCAATTTCGTAGGTGTTCGAATCCAGTTGTCTTGTCGATTATTGGTTACGTGTGGCCTGCCACTCCGAGGATGGACTCTGACTGCATTCGTCTGTTGCCAACGTTGCCATAAACACCAAATGGTGTTTCTGTGGACGTTAAATTGTCTTGCAACACCACGTTGACTCGACCCTGCTTCAAGCATACCAATGGCTCGCAGACGCTCATTTTCGGAAAGGCGTGGCATTTCGTAATATTGAATAATTGCTTAATTTGTTTGTTTTTCTGAGTGGTTGTTGTGGAATCCCGTTAACGCACATGTTTTTATACCCATTCTTGGGTAGTAAAATGCATGGGGCTTGCATAAAAGTCAACTTTTGCATGGAGTGCATGCTTTTCTGCAGCAGTTGCGTTTTTGTGACATGATTCCATACATGTACTATAATAGTGAAAACCAAACTTTACTTGTTTTAAAAATACAGTCACTAAAATATTGGTGTCACAGGAACTTTTGTTGTTGAGTATATATGACAAACTGGTTTCGATTTTTACAATATATATTTAAGGATTAACTGTGTTTGTTTTCGGATCATTAAGGTATGATGCAATCTGTATGGTCCGCGTAGCGGATTTTTACAAAAGTTTGCGCAGCGGGTTTTCGGTTCATACTTCAATGAACCGAAACAAATACACAAGCAATCCTTATAAGTTAATTCAACAACGAAAATTATCTGCAATGAAAGAATGAAAAAAAAAAAAAATCAAAGCAGAGTGGCGAGATTGATGAAATTTGTTGACATTTGTCGATAAAAAACAGATGAGAGAGCCTGCACGTTTGTTGTTTCATTGAGGGTGGTTAGGAAGATGAATATGCATGAATTTCACAAAACGTACTGTGCATGAAAGGACAGGTGAGCAGAAAGAGAATTCCCTTGACTGTAATATGGGATTCACCGACATTTCGTTGCAGTCGAAGTAGTCCGCTTCGGTGTTGGCGTGGCTTATTTATTTACATTCATTGGCAAATTATAATGCAATAGCACGTGACCGATTCAGCTAATCAGTTTGTTGTTTAACGCCGCAGCAATAATACAGCTATATGACGGCTTTCTATGAATAATCGAGTGTGGACCAGACAATCCAGTGATTGAAATCATGATCATCGATCCACGCAATTGGGATCGATAACATGCATCAACCAAGTCGGCGAGCCTGACCAACCGATCCCGTTAGTCGCCCCCTACGACATGCATAGTCGCCTTTTACGGCAAGCATGGGTGGCTCAAGATCTATTCTACCCCGGATCTTCACGGTCGATTGACATCATGAGCATCGATTTACGCAACTGAGATACGATGACTTGCTTCAGCCAAATCAGCGAACCAACTTAATATATTACAAATGTATTCGGATAAATGGAGATTTAGCGTGAAGTTGACAAAATAATAGTACATTTAGAAAATTGTTGCCGAGATAGAGAAAAATGCTGTTTTAAAGGTGAATTCATTAAAGCCGTCCATCAGTATTAATACCTTGGAATACTATTTACTCACAAACTAATTTTAAGCATTTGTTAAACAGACCGAAAACAACATTCTGTCACACCCCAGATTTATATCAAACCACTAGATTCTCAACTCGACCAGTTGTGTTGTACGATGCCAAAAATATGGGAATCTAAGAAGTTATCTGAAATTGAAATGATTCACTTATTTGACTTTGACTTATTTGCAAGAAAACATTTCCTGAATATTTTATGTCAACACCGAGAAACAGGATCAGTGGTTAATGTGCGGGATTCCAGCTGTTAATTACATCTAATATTCGCTGATTACACTATTGGTTGATAACGTTTTGGACGTATGGACATTGGTTGCCCAGGAAATCTAATTATATGCTTGTGTATCTTTTCGGGAAAAATACTTTGGCTTCACGTACCCTTTACAGTCATGGTGCTCACTGTGTATGGCTGCGTATGGAACATGTTAGTAATGCTGATGACTTTCTGAAATACTTGTCGTGCTAGTGTGTGTTCAGACACGATTTGTGCTCTGCTCTCACATGTACACAAATTTACAGATTTGACTGTGACGGCTGCCCCCGGTGGGACAGGATACGCTCACCTTTTTCGCGAAACGCGTTATGTCAATTCAAATTTTCAAATATGCAATCTACATAATTATGACATACGTTGTCTTTGTGAGATACGTGTATTAGAATAACATAAGCAGCATGAAAGTCTGTATAAACTAAAACATCACTTTATTAAATAGCATGTCAAAAGTTAAAATATGCGAGGTGTTTTATACATATGGATCATAACTGTAGTTATGCTCTTAAGTATTTAAGTCATTGTTGACGTCTTGTGATGTAATCCATCATATTAAGTCTAAAAAATGTGTGTAACTACACTATTGACGTCGGAGTCTCTCCTTGTCGAGACTGAGACATGATTTGCCCTACAGACATTCAACATATGAACTGAAGATCAAGATATCCATACACACCTGACAATACACCAGTGTGGCTATCGATGCAGGTACAATGTATCACAGCTCCACAACGCAAGTGTTAATGGAAAGTGTGTGAATGACGCGTGCTACTGGTAGGGCAATATATGCTTCCCCTATATGCGCGGACACCCGGTGTCATCACTGATTTTCAGTGGTCCATTCATATAATGTTCACAGCTATTTCAGCAGTGTAGGTCCAAACTATCGTATGCTAGTATCAAAAGCTGGTCTCAGATGCCTAGCCAGGAGGTGAGGTGAGGTCGCGGCCACAATGATTGCACCTATATAGCGAAATGCATGCATGCATGCATGCACGTGTGTGTGTGTGTGTGTGTGTGTGTGTGTGTGTGTGTGTGTGTGTGTGTGTGTTTAGCATGAATTCCCCACTCAGACACAGTATACTGACTCCGAGCCGACCAGTCCTTGTTTTAGCCCCTAAATGCCGAACGCCAGAAAGGGTAACAACAAACATCTTCTAGTGTCTTTTAGTATGACGCGGCCGAGGATCAAACTCTACTTTGTATCCAGAAACAGTAACTTGTGTAGCCCATTAGCGCAAGGATGGTGTTAACCATGTTTGACCAGGTTGTTGTCTGTTATCAAAGGTCATGATCGCTTCGTAATTGACAGGTTATAACAGGTGCTCTGTCTGGCTCGACAATACCGTTTACAGACCGCCATCTTATATCTCTCATCTTTGGGACTGAGGTGTATATAAAAGACAATTACAAGAATCTGTAATAATTGCAAGTAATCTCTTGATGATATTGTGTCGTCAATCGTATGTGTGTAGAACAGACGAGGCGGTTTCACTGGTCTCGATATTTTAAATTCAGGACGATAAATCAGTAGATGGGTATTGGCTATTTGATCGTTAATGAACGTTATCAGATCATATATAACATGAAACTTACGTTGAACGTCTTCGTCAAAATCTTCCGATTCATATGCATCAGGAGGCAGGTGTCCACTTCCATATAGAGATGGTACAATAATAATAACAAATACATTTAGAATTTAGAACATTTAGAATATATAAAAGGGACAGTAAAACAACTAGATGACCACAGTGTTGTATTCAAACCTAGTATCCATGAGGATGTCCAACATTTCACAAATTGTTTTCTCAGTAAACTTTCATTTTAGACATTCCGGTATGCGTTATGCAAAATAATCAAAACGTAAACGCGGTTTAAAGCTTTCTAAATTGGAATCATGCTTTAATTGTATCAGGAAACTGCTGTTGATCATGTGATCTTTGTCACTTTACAGTGATTCGCAGCTGCTGATCACATTATGAAGTAAATTGTTGAACTTATTTTCATCTCTCATTAAAGCAACATTTCTTATAGTACATTATCACAGAAAATACCTTTTCACGGCAAGCAGTCAACACAGATGTGATATTCTGAACACATATCCATGAAGCAGGTGTCCGTGTTGAAGACAACAACGGCGAAGGTCAACAGCAACTACAGCATTATAAGTATCCAGGAAACATGAAAGACGAAAAAACGACGTTTGGTCACAGATAGTTGGAAACGTCGTGAGTTTTCCTTGTTAGGCGGAATTGTTCGCATGTTCTACCATCGGTTGTATAACTTCAGTGAATTCTTCCTGTGGGGGTGATCGCCTCCAGTTTTCATTGGGTTCGAGAGTCTTCTTCAATTTCTGAAATGAGCCAATGAGGGAATAAATCGTTATGATCCAAAAGTCCAAAAACACATTTTTATAGTCAACAATCACAGGTTCCTTCATAAAAGCAGACCATGTGATCAAATTAATTTAATGCTTCTAATGTATTGTGCAATAAATCTCTCCTTGTTCTAGACAAATATTTGTAAGGTAATTTAACATAGCAAACATAAAATGGACTTGTTGACATTCACATACTGCTTTATGATGCCTCAAAGTTAGATTGACAAATCAGAGAGCAGAACTACTGACCCAACATTAGGGTTATACCGTCAATAAAGATCCGAGATGTTGCTCCTGACCTTATATGGGACAGTTTACCGTCAGTAATATCCATCTTGGATTTTCCAACACCCACTTCAAATATTTTACTTGAAACATCTGGTACAGAAATTCGTTATTCGACACTATTTTGTGTTTTGTATCATTAATTGTGATATGCAAGGACATTAAATCACTTTCGTCACTTTATTGATATAGACTATAGTTACACTTGTCAACAAGGTTTGGTCTCTAAGGTTTGAGGAGTAGTCTCCCTTTGGCCCTTAACGTCCGCTCACGCAGCTTAGAAGAGTAGTGCGATATGGATACCAAATAGTGTAAATGTTTCGGCGTTATAAATTCGTCATGGTGGCTTAAGCTGCCGTATACGGTGTCAGATTAGGTTAGCAGAAAAATATTGTGCGAGGTTAGGGTTAAGAGCAACTTCAGAATCATAAATATCCAGAAATATACCAGCAACGATCTAAAAATAGTTGACACAGATAGTTGGACACGTCGTAAGGTTTCCTTGTTAGGCGGAATTCTGACGCCACACCCAATATTGTTTCTGCTAACCTAATATGACACCGTACATGGCATTTAAATACACCATAACAAACAATATGTCACCCTTATTAACAAAGCATAGCTATACAACAGGCAGCATACACCAACTGCGTTGTACCCAAAGTCAATGTGATTCAGGTTAGATTCGAGTTGTATTTACCTCTTTCAGCGTTGCCCCTTGTGTGTTGTAAACCGTCCAGATGAAGACAGTCGGTAACGGCAGGAGTGACGAAAAGGCTATGAGCCATCCAACAGCTGTTGCCCAGGTGGGGTAGATGTAGTCATGGTACTTTGGCGGTCGGTGGGAGTACAGGGAGTAGCAGCAGATCACCTGGTACAAGAGATTGAGCATAACACATACACACAGTACCCTTGTTCTTGTCCTACTGGACTACAAAAGCATGGTGTGCTCATCTCCATATATTTCGCTCAACTTCAGCATCGTGCCTTCCCGTAAGTATATCAGAGAATTACTGTAGATCAACATTGTACCTTCCCGCAAGAATATCATGGAATTACTGAAAAACAGCATCGTACCTTCCCGTAAGTATAGCAGGGAATTGCCATAGCTCTATGTCATGCTAGAGGGTCGAACCCTTTGGGATTATAGGGTAGAATTGGTGTCCAGCTACCTTTATTTGTAAAAAGCGGCGTTACTCGGATCGGTATTGGTTGATTTCATGGTACGATGCTCACAATATGTCAATCAGTGATATGTGACTAAATTGTCAGACTTCTAATAGCTGAAATATTACTGTGGTATTAAACAACAAACAAACAAACATAACGATAGGGAGAAGGGCAGCATGACCGAAGGGGTCACCGGAAATGTATGCATGTTGTAAGAGCCTTGTAAATTAAGCCTCGTGTGTCTCCTCCATAACATTGGTTTAGTTTTCCTCAAAGGGGTGGATATGGTTAATCTTGTCCACCGTTTGATTGTGCTTGGTTCAGGTTCCAATAGAGTATTTACTTCCTACAGGATATTGTTAGAAAATTGTTGACTGCAGCGTTTAACACCATTCATTCTTCAATTTAGTCGGGGAGGATTTTAGTTACCAAACGAATAGATACTGAAAAGGTGAGTATGATAAAGTAATTAAACAACGAAAGACTTTTATCCTCAAGAAAATGATCAGGTTTCAGGCCCATGGGTGAGCGAGTGCCAAGATGCTAAATTCTAGTTCACCATCCAATGATGACATATATGTACATTGCCGTCAGGTTGGCGAACTGATATTATTTTATCTGATAACAAATGTTAACCGTCACCTGTCCTAATCATGGCCACACCCTCATTGCTGCATAGACTAGACTGATCTAGAGATCTATACTGTGTGAAGTGTAAGTTTGAGGGCGTTTCTAAGATCGGAGTCAAAGTAAAATGACTTTATGTAACGTTTCTGAATAATCGACAGACGAGTGAGTGTTGTTTCAGCGACGCTTTGAATAGCATTTCGGTTTTGTGGCATCTTTATGAATGTATGTGTAATGAGGACATGTAACGTTCATTTATTGATATTTTGCTAAATAGAGCTATCTTTGCGCTTTAAGGTTTGAATAAAGTGGTCAATGTCTACACTTTCCTCACAAATCGGGGCTTTCCTCACATTTGAGGAACGCAGCTAATTATCTAATGATATATTCTTCGAATTATGTTGTACGCGGCTCGGCGACTATTCAATAAGTTTTAAAGAGTCAATATTGTATGATGTATTTCGATGTTTCAGGAGTATGTCAGTATCAAAGCTTCAGTAATGAAGAACAACTTACAACTAGAAACAGAGGACACACAAACTTGAAACTAATGACCATGACTCGAGGTATAGTCTTTCCCCACATCGTACGGACGTCCTCCTGGAGCCTTTTGGTTCCTGGAAGTAAATCAGGATCAATTTATAACATCAACATACAGTATATCTATAGACTGGCAGGGGGCACGGGTGGCCCAGTCGTCTAAGGCGCCGCGATTCGCTGTGCAGATTTGTGTCCCTTGGGCACGCCAGAAACCTATGATTGTGGGTTCGAATCCCGGTTCGCCCCGATTATGTTTCTAGGTTTGTCAGCACCATACCCGTGCTCGTGGGTTTCACCGAAGTGGTAAACGTCTGAGACCTGCATCACTTCGGGCTTTCCTCCCACATTAAGCTGACACGCCGCGATATAACTGGAATACTGTTTAAAGCGGCGTTAAACCCAACTCACTCACTCACTCACTCACTATAGACTGGCAAGCTCAGTATTTTGCAAATTGAAATTGAAGGTAATGAACACATGTCACAGCCAAAGAAAACGTGTCCTTTTGTTACTGATTTTGGACTTGGACATTCACTTATCTATACACTGGCAAACATACCTATTCTGAACGTTATAAACACATAGCACACACATATATAACGTGGTCGTGGAATTTAAGGGATTTTGTATTAAGTCTAGATTACAAGATCCAAGGCCTTTCAAAACGTTGATTGTGGACATGTTGGACCCGTGAAGATCCGCGATAGAATAGGTCTTCAGCAACCCATGCTTGCCGTAAAAGGCGACTATGCTTGTCGTAAAAGGCGACTAACGGGGTCGGGTGGTCAGGCTCGCGGAATTGGTTGATGCAGGCCATCGTATCCCAATTGCGTGGATCGATGGTCATGAAGTCAATCACTGGATTGTCCGGTCCAGATTCGATTATTTACAGACCGCCATCATATAGCTGGAATATTGCTGAGTGCGGCGTTAATCAACAAACAAAGAAAGGTAGACAGACATATGGAGGACATTTCCAAATCTGACGCATCAGTGTCAACAATGATGTCCTTCCCTATTTCGACCTGTATCATATGTTCCCATGTTCTTTCTGGTGAACAATTGCTTTGCCTTTGCATGTGTTTGTGACGCGTGCCCCCGGTGGATCAGGACACGCACATCTCGTCGCTTACACCTGGTACAATCGCTCGTGTATGACATAGTCGGAATAGCATAGTGCATTCTGATTGTAGCAGATTTTTCTTATGATTATGGAACGGGTTCTTTCACTTGTTTATTTGATAGCTTTTCTGAAGTTTGAATGAAAGTTAAAAGGTTTATAATATCATGTATTTGTACGCATTTGGTTGTAGAACACATATTGTACACATTGAAATTTGACCATTGTGTTACTTTTGCACGCCAAATGCTTATGAGTGTTATATTGCTGGAATAATGCTAAAAGCAGCGTAAAATCAAACTCACTAACTCACTCACTTACCATAACACCAGCCTACAACAATGCACTCAAGGATGCCCAACACGGCCGTTGATGGGAAGTAGGCGTACCAGTCAACCAGCGTCACCACGAATATCCCACCCTTAAATGTATAGATAATACAAAAGGGTTGACAGATCGGGTTGTAATAACCTTCTGATAATCATACATGTGCATTTGTTAGATTCCCAAAGCCTATTTGTCGTTTGATTTTTTTCAAACGTCATACTGTTGTATTGCTAAGAAGAGTATTATATGACGTCGTAAACTGACAACGTTTCATCACAAAAATAATAAATTAACTACAGTGAATTGTCTTTGTAACGATAAAATCGTTATTTGGTTATAAGGTGTGGCGAAGTGAAATGAGGTTGTACGTTGGTCAAGATTATGCTGTAATCCCCTACCACTTTCATTCATTGCCTCGATGCCAGATTGCTATTCTTCTAGATAGTATATTTTGAACAAGTTTCAGATTACAAAATCGCATTAAGCAATCTCTGTGGTTCAAACTGGGATATCCTTCACGAGGTTAATATTAAGAACTCTTTTCAGCTGCGGATTACCTTAGGTAATGTAAAGGACACCTGAATTGGGAGGTAACAATGTACCATCATGTACCTTATAAATGGTATGTATCGCGACCAAAAGAATTGTGTTTTCAGGGGTTTACATGCAAGCCTAACCCTGACTCTGTCCATATGTTCATGGTAATGCCAACAAAAACGACATGTTCGCTTATACCTGTAAAATATATATCAGACCAAAACGAGCATATTCAGTTTCACATGCAGTGTTCACCGTTACCTGTGAAATATATATCAGACCAAACAGGAAGAGACTGAGGAGTACACCGCTGATGGTGAGCCAGCGTTGTTTCATCAACTTGGGGAAGACATCTTCCAAGGCAGCGACGACTATGTCCACACACGGAACCTGCACCCATACACATATTGCAACAGTGTGTCACGTTTATGGCTACTTTGGTATTTGAGAAATTACCGCATCTTAGTTACATCCATAGTGTCTCAGCAAAATATATGATAGAAAATGTCAACGTGGTGCTTTCATAGGCATGTTTGTATATTGATCCTGGGATCTTTAACAAAATATGCAAATTGTCGAAATAATTGAGAAACGCATGTATAATGCATTACAGTTCATAAGACAGAATTTCCTCAGCCATCTTGTTTGATAATTGCTTGGTCAGATTAATATCATTTACGTTATTATAATTAATCCTACATTCAAATTAATATATAGGTTCATGTTGATAAACTATGTCTAGTTTCTAAGCTGAGAGAATTGAAGCTTGCCCATTACCATAGTATCGATATTCAACGATATCAAGGTCAAAAAGGTCAGCACAGACCATAGCTGTGCCAGTGGGAGAGCAGAAATGACCTCAGGGTACACGATGAAGCTTAGGTCAAACCCTGAAACACAGGACGGATAGCAAACGTAATATGTATTCCACGTTCGATGCGAAAAATGATATTTAACTTAGTTCGTAAAGAAACGGACATGCCATATTGCAAATTCCGATCTCATTGATATTCCGAAAATTGATATGCTGTTAAGTGATTCATTTGAACAAACAAAAGACACACAGTAATAGAATAACGTGTCTAGAAACCTCCCATACATCGTTTTTGGATTCAAGCACTGAAGAGACTGTTCTTATCTGTGAGAGGAACTGGACAGGATCTGCCTTTCTGCACATGTGCTCTGAACACGCATGTGTATGTAAGTGAGTGAGTGAGTTAATGTTTGTAGTCACCTCGGAAATATTGTAGCCATATCGTGACGAAATCAAGTTAAACCAGTCGACGAAAGACGGTAAAAGAACCAGATTATCGAAGATGTAGATTTAGAACTAGCATGTACCAATACAAATTGAACTATTCATGACACTGCAAATAGAAATGGGTCAGAGATCACAAGCATCCAAAGTGAGGCCACCATACAAGAGACCAAGGGGGCGTACAGTACTTATGCAACCTACATGGTACCCCAGCAGGATTTACACCATCCCTCTGGCTACTGGCGATTGTTGGAAAGTAAAGCCAACGCTTAAAATTTAAAAGTGTACTACGATAAAAACGATAGAAGAATAATATGGTCTTACATACTCTCACAGGGGGACAATAATTACGCTACTTCAATGCCCCGTGAAAGTATAACCACTAACATTCGCTGATATCAAATTTACTCATACTAATTTTAAAATAAGAATTTATTAATTACAAACATGATCTTCAAAAATGTTGTAACGAAGATATTTCTTTTTAAAAAGCAAATGATTAAATGAGAACACATGGTATTAAAAAGGTGCTTAATACTTTATGCTTGAAAATATTTATCCTGATTTTCTTATCTCATCCCCGTTGGGTGTTTGATACGAGTGCCAGAAAGTCTAGTGCTTTCATGCATTTAGCTCTTAGACATTTAATATGTTACAATGTGCGATGACTTGGCCTCTACGACTACTTTGATGGGATTGCCAGATAAAATAGTTCTAGGCATGCTAATTGTAGAGCATTCGACGACTTGTTTGATGTATCAGTAGGTTACTTACCAGAGGATTGAAACGCTTCAACAGTTACTCCACGCTGGAAGGCCACGTGACCAACAACAGAGAAGAAAGCGAAGCCGAAAAAGACATTGGAGAGTGAATCAATCAGGCAAATTATTATTGCATCCCTTGAAGAAACAACACATGAACAATATACTGAATAATAGTTTTTGAAAGATTGAAGTTAAAGTTTTCTAAAGATATTTGCACATGTTCATTTTAGCGACTAGCGGGCCAATGATTAGTTTCGATAAGTGAAGTCGTCGTTATATGTTGGTTAACATCTAGTTCTACCATTGGAAAACACGCGAGTTTGATTGGTCAATCAGGGGTTCAAATCTTACAAAATACAATACACATAGTATCTCTGATAGTTACGTCATATTTTGGATGTAGGGACGTCATTACAGTGTGCAGTTCCCGTTAGGGAAAGCAATGGTATGTACTCATTGGCTGCTTATGAAGTTGCTGGGTTTACACTTCCAATGCATCTCATATATGCAAGTAAATATATTTAGGCAAATGACAACGTTCGGGCATATACAGAAGTATATTATCGTTATTATCGGTGTTTCCACATTAGAAGTGAGTGGGTGAGTAGGGTTAAACGCCGTTTTAAACAAAACTCCAGTTATATCTCGCCGTGTAAGCTCGATGTGATACAGATCTTAGACGTTTACCACATAGGGGAAACCCATAAGCACAGGTATCGTACTGCCCAAGGGACGCAACTCTGCACAGCGAATTGTGGCGCTTTAGACGACTGGGCCACACTCATTAGAAGCTACTCATAACTGTTTCCCCCATAATCATAACATTACGCGTGTAATTTTGCTATGGTAGAGTTGAGATAATCATAACGTAAATTCGAGACGTTATGTTACATTTTGTGGTATCATACATCGTGTTCTACAATAGTGTTGTACTGTCTTATACTATGTTTCTTATATACATTTTGATACAACAACTGGAACATTTCTGTGAAAACCCATTGACGTAAAATATACCTGAAGCAGTTGTTATCTAGTCTGTTGTGTCCAGACATAGTGATGGTACACCCCATGGCTATACCGATGGAACCTAGGGCGTAGCGACACGCATGAACCCACACCTGCAGCCATAGAAACGTGCCGTGTGTGCAGAGAGCTAATCAGAAGCTTAAGGTTTATCTTTAATGTTTGATGATTGCATGTATAGGGTGTTAGGGTGTTCAACAATGTCCTTGACTAGGGAGCATGTATTATGAACTATTAATTGAAAGGCAATACAAAATTCTTCCTCTATTTTATTACGCATTCCCTGTTTTGAACACAGTGACTCTGTTTGTATTCGATTATTATCATGCTTTCGTTTGTATTGAAGACAGACATACCCATGCGTTCCCTTTTTTATTCCATCAATTTATGATTGATTTGGGTTTAATTCCCCTTTTATACTATTTCAGAAATAGGCTTTGTATCTTTGTATATGAGTGATCGAAGCAGAGTGATCTCACCACCTTATATTCACCCATCCCGTCAGCATATGAATACCAACCATCTAAAATTACGTGATAACGTGAACATACGAAAATAACATTGTAAACGAAGTCGATGTGATAATTGCGGAAAAATATCATTGACGGCAATACAAATACTGTTTGAGAAAACAGTAACCGTACAAGTTAAAGATGCGTAAACAGATTTGGGCTCACTTTAGGGTCTGTAAGCTTGTCAAACTTGGGATAGATGTAGTAGTATATTCCTTCTGCTGACCCCGGAAGAAGACAGCCCCGGATGAGGAAGACGAAGATGAGGATGTAGGGGACACCCACGGTGACGTAGACAATCTGGTAGAAAAAATTAAGTCATTGAGTGAGTGAATAAGTACCGACTAGCTTATCTAAACCAAACTGTATAATGGATCGTGATCTCATTGGTTTAATTTAAGAGATTGCTTGATGAGAGAAAGGATTATTAATGTATTGTAATCGATATATGTAACCATCAATATGAGTAGAATATATATCAGAGATAAAACATGTCCACGCAGTTCTATTTCCATCTACATTTGCAGGCGTGGACTCTGTCTTGCGAATGTAACGTGCCCATTGACTTTTGCATATTACCTTCCCTGATACTTTTATTCCTTGAAATATCCAAAGAAATAAGAGCACTGTGGTGACGGCCAGACATCCAACAAGATGCCATCTTAGACCTCCAAGATTGTCCAGGCCATCACTCTGTCCCAACAGCTGGAATCTGACGAAGGGAACAGCCTTATGTCTACAGTCTATATTGGGGAAGACAGTGAGTGATTTGGATGTGACGCAGCTTCGAACACTATTTGAATTATTTGACGCCGTATCAGCTTGATGTGGAAGGAATGCCTGCAGAGATGGAGGTTTTAGACGTATAACATTTTGGGGAAAAGAGCACAGGTTCGGGTAAGAATTAAACTCAGGGCGAATCTCAGTCAACGATTTTGTCACTATGGGGCGACCTACGAGCATAGGTTTGGTCCAGACAGACCAATAAGCATCATCATGTATAAGGTTTTTTAAGCTATGATAAAGGCATAAACTGTAAACAAATACACACATTGCTGAGTTATCTTTTTAATAAAATGGTGCGGAGCATTAGAATTTAATATCATAGTGAAGACACATGCAATATATTTTCTAAAGAACTAAACAGTGTGGGGTGAATACTGCAGAAAGGCTTATACAACAATTTGTATATATTTAAGTATTTGTGAACGTACTTCCAGAATTCTTCAGCGGCTGTCATCCCACGGGCTGTTCCGTTAATGGAGTACACAGCGTCGGTTGTACAAGACGCTGTATCATTAGACAAAACTGACGCGTTCTTGTTGTATATGCATGCCGGGGTGTTCCATGCGTTGTCGCAGTGGTCCCAGGGCAGGTTGTGGGAGAAGGAGTGGTAGAGGTAGTACATATACCACGTGAAGCTGATGTTGAAGTAGCTGACGAATAACCACGAAACAACAACACTGCCAATACCTATACCTGCAATAGTAGTAAATATAAGGATCGGTATGTGGGCGTGTCATACTGGTTTACGAAAGGTCTTCTATATTGAAAAATGTATCGAGAAGGTAACTGTGTCAACGCCATGTTATCATTTACTGTCTGTTATGCCACTGTGAGTCAGCCCGATGTGGAAGGAAAGTGATAGAGGTATTAGGCCTTTACTTCTTCACCAAAACACGACCACGTGTATGGTGGTGACCAATCAGGGATCATAATCAGATAATCAGTGTTAACATGGGATTGAAATCCATGTTCACTGGATCCTGCCACACCTAATGAATGCAACTCAATTGCGGCACCAACGACGGCTTGTCCACCCATGCAAACCAACACTTTACGTATTGAAACGACAATAGGTTTCCCTTTCAAAACTGTGGTAGGTATTCCTGTTGTAGCTAGATATATAGCTGACCTTTGAAACCTTATTGCCTATTCAATAGATAATGTTGCCTTTTGAATAGATAATGCTGCCCGCTTGAAACAAATCTATGTTACTCTCTTTAAACTTGACTTTGCTTCCCGATTGAAACCGGGGCTTACTTGCCTGTTGCCACTTGGACATGTTTCAGTTGTTACCTTTGAAAGCAGGACACATATTCCAGACTTTAATAGGTCCACTCTGAGAGAACTGTCCGATGGTCATCTCAAGAAACACACAGGGGATGGCTCCAATTATTGTGAAGAACATGAACAGTATCAGGAACGCTCCTTGTCAACAAAAATAAATGCTGCATTATTACTAAGATTGACATTGTATATTTCAATAGCGTGGTCATATACTTCAATGGCGTACATCTCCAATATTTGCCCCTTTGTAGTACCTAAGCATGTACATTATGGACTATACATGAGTAAAAGGCGACATATAGTTGAATAGGCATATGTTAGCGAGACTGGCCGAAAAACATATTCTAATTCAAGACAGCCACAGGATACCATAAAGTCACGTGTCCACGGTCCTATTTTAAGCTGCATTCAGCAATATTCGAGCTATAAGACGGCGCTCTGAACATGATCGAGTCTGGACCAAACAATCAAGTGATTGACATCATGAACGTCGATCTACGCAAGTCTGGCCCTTAGTCACCTCCTACGGCAAACTTGATTGCTGAAGATCAATGCTAACCCGGGTAGCATGTGACTATCTTGTGTTTCTAGCAACAGAGGGCGGTCCATTAAACACACGGCACAAATCTGTACCGTTACATGAACATGTCCGGTTTTTGTAGGTCACATGCGTGGGATCGTTAATTAAGAATGGAAATAAACATGACTACCAGTCTTCATCTCAAGTAAGTTTTTTCAGGGATATATATAAAATAACAAACCGTTCTGCTGATGTTCACATATTTCACGTAGTCCGCAATATGTTTTCGTTCGAGCCAAATGAATTCTATATGTCGTCCGATCGCAGCATATGAGTAATCTGACATAGGAGCCCAGTCAGAGGCCAAGCAGAGTGAGTGAGTATTGTTCTACGCCGCTTTTAGCAATATTCCAGTAATATTTCGGCACCGGACACCAGAAATAGGTTCACACATTGTACCCATGTAGGGAATCGAACCCGGGTCTTCGGCGTGATGAGCGAACGCTTTAACCACTAGGCTACCCGACCGCCCCGAAGTTAGTGACTGCTTGTAGAAAGGTTCTCCACGCATTGATACAGTGACTCAATCAGTTAGATCACTGGATGTTTCCATCGTGTACCCATGAGACAGTTCTTACCACAATTCTGAAACTGGACCAATTCTGCTCCCGTATCCTCACGGCGTCATGCATTTGATCAATCAAGCATTGTTGAAAGTTGCATTTATTTTTCAACATTATATTAAACTACGAACTACATACATGACTATACATGTGCCTAAAATATGTAGATCTGTGTAACTGGTTATATGATTTATTCCTTTTTAGATATAGATTTCAAAATATCATTTGCGTAAGGCCTACCTCCTCCATTGCGAATGCAGTAGAAAGGGAATTTGATGAATGCTCCCGACCCGACACCGTATCCCAGAAGGGTGATGAGGTAGTCCAGTTGACTGCGCCAATGTTCATGAGCCATGGTTGTTTTCACACTAGTTCTGTGACAAAATAACACACCTAACACTAAGTCATAGTAACAGTGAGGTTCTGAGCGCAGTATCATCTGTGTATGCTATTCTCCCAATGACGACTGCCCTGATCACTTTTGTTATTTGAGTTGCCTATGTTCTTGATTTATATATTTATCATTTTAACATTTACTAGTTTTTTTAGTTGCAGATTTTTGATGACGTAAACAAGATATACACGAGGGTAAACAAAATAATGAATTTAGCTCAATGGTTTACAGATAAATGGTTGACATACCGCATCATCAAAAGAGCAGCACGATTAAAGATTTATAAAATATATATAAATACTTATATAATCTTAGTTATAGAGGGGTGGGTAAATGCTGACCCTTGTACATTAATGTCTTTAATCGGTTTAATTACCATAGTAACCATTTAAAGCAAACGGAATGTGTGTGGGTACCATTTCCTAAGATTTTGATGTGCATGATTTGATCATCACTGCGCATTCCACGTATCCTCGGGCCAAAAGCCGGATTCAGGACCCATGGTACAAACGTAGTGAGCATTGCATGCAATGACCGGACTTTGCGTACGACTCCCGAAATGAACTTACTGTGGATGTTTATTTCTTATATCTCTTACACATATGATCATCCTTTATTGCCTTTTGCACAGAAACCAATGTGACGAATCCAGTGACCGGTTTGGAAAAAAAACACACACTACAAACAAAAATAATTTACGAAATTTATACCCTTGTAAATACTTGCTTAAAACGTATCTAAAATGCATTTTTTTTATTAATATTATGAATAGATTTGAATATACAATGCAGCAAGGAGGGTTTGGGTGATCCTGGCACAGTCAGACTTGTTAGGCTCATCATCAGCTCAGGGCCCTTGTCCCCTCTACACGCAGCTCAGACAGTGAATGGGACTTCTCCCAGGAAGCGCTGCCTAGTCCAACCCACCCAGAAATTTTCGGAGAATGTAAAGTTTGCCCAATGCTGCAGCCTTCTGCATTACCCAGATTGTCAGAAGGGCTGTATTCAACCCGGGTACTCTCCCAATGTCAGTCAACAGATTGGGAGGTACCAATCTAAGGCACCGAGATCAATGGGTAGTTGGTAAAATTGGTACTTGGGATGCAAGCGTGCCATTTCCAAAGCGAGGTCTGCATATTTGCCATGTTTTTCCTGAATCTTGTCAATCACATTAAAGGTTGAAAGGGACAGAAAAGTCAATAACATAAATTATGTCATTGGATTTATAAAAAAGGACAAGATCAGGGTTGTTGGTCTGGGTGCCTCTGAGGCTACACGGGCCTTTTCTAAAAAGAATAATTGTATTTATCATTTTCCATGACACCCTCTACATATTCTGCGTCGTACCATGGATGGACCTCTGTGTCAAAAGCACAAGCATTGCGAAGACGGCAATACAATGATCGATCCACTCTGTCATGTCACACTGCATTTGTGCCAAAGCTGGGCAACCACTGACGATGTGATGGACAGTCTCACTATGTTCCTTGTATAATGTACATTTCATATTTACATTTTGATGCAACATCACACATTGACGGTTTCGAGTGGGAAGTGACTTGTCCTGAGCAGCAGCAAACAGAAAGCCTTTTGTTTCACATTTCTATTATCATTACTATTATGTACAAATCAAAACACAAAATGTAGGAAAGAGGGTTTGGGTGATCCTGGCACAGTCAGGTTGGTTAGGCTCATCATCAGCTCAGGGACCTTGCCCTCTTTACATGCAGCCCATACAGTGAATGGGGGACTCCTAGGAAGCGCTGCCTAGTCAAACCCACCCAGAACTTTCCGGAGAATGTGAAGACTCTGCCAGACTGCTGCCTTCTGCCAGATTGTCAGAAGGGCTGTATTCCTGGTAGCGAAACCAGTTGTTATTATTATGTACAGATTAAAATAAAAAAAGGCAGCATAGAGGGTTTTGGTGATCCTAGCACAGTCAGTCTGGTTAGGCTCATATTATTCTTATTCTTATATCGCACTTATCTGGGTACCAGTATCTGCTCAAATACGGTTTATTTGTTCCCCAACCAGTGGATCTGTTTGCATTCCAAAAATAATTCTGAACTCCCTGCGGAGTATACAACCCAAGTTACATACGGGCGCCAGAGAGTTTTTACATCCACCTCACTGATGGGGCACTCATTCCCGCCACCTCATATTAGTGCTTATTACATATTTGTACCTCAGTGCCAACTGTGACAAAGACCATCCCTTAATCTGCTGCAGGATCAGATTCCAGATAAAGACAGATGCACCAAACTAAGTAAGAGGGAGGGACTCACATTGATGTCAGCAAGACCTTACACCCACAGAGATTGGATTCCGTTACTCACTGCAAACACAAAAACATCGGTTTTTTTCGTATATGGTCAATGGACGGAAAAACGACTAAACATTCATTAAAATTGATTAATTGGTGAGCGTCTAGAAAGTGTGTAGAAAATGGTCGAGTTTTTCAAGCGTAAAATGGACGGAAAAACGATGCTTTTTGCTCCGCCTTGTACAGCTGTTAATGGCCAATCAGCTGGCGCTGGTCCCCCGACGCACGTGATTCCCAAGGCTTCCTTTCGAAAGCTTTAGGTTTCGTATGTCTGGCATGCCTTGCTCTAGTATCTGTCGCGCGCAGTGCAGCGAGATTTGCTGATAAGCCAGTTTTAGGATATGCAACATGTTAATGGAATTCAGGCACGCGCCAAGAAGTCAAACCAAACAATGTTACCAAGTTTATTGTGGTAACATATCCCTCGGCTATGAACAGTTACCCCTATCGAATAATGGGTTGTGTTTCATTTGGTTATAATAATAACAAAAATTTTAATGTGAAGTTTACAAGATATACGGCTAGGACGAGAGGTCGGTCACATGACGTTCTTCACGTGACTGTATTCTTGAAATGGCGTAAACACTGACTGCTTCCACATTCCTGGGGAAAACCCTTGGAATTCCCTGGTACGAATTCATACAGAAGCGTGGTTGCATGCCCGTTTAAAGGGGCACTGATCTAACGCAATTCCCGGGACTGGTTGTTGCCTTTGTTATTGGTTTTTCCCCGTGAGTACCCGGATGATACGCAACGCAACAGAGCGTGACCGGAGACTGGGCTACCGTCTGCAAGGACAGCTAAATAAACTTGGAGGCTGGAGGCAATATTTGTTTTACGAATTTTTGCATAAACACTGATTGGTTAACTGTGATCTATAAAGATTTCGACAAAGGGCGCATGTTAATTAATTTCTTCACCCTAAACAGACAAAAAGAACGGCGGAGCTCATCGGATGTCCTCATTTGGAAATACCCCAGATGGTTATAGTTATAGTTATAGTCGGATTGCGTCGATAATACGATTACCAATCCCTTGTTGTCATCCACGTTTTCTCATATAACCCTACACTTGTGTATTTATCGTCATTCACTTGATGCTCAGTTAATGAATTTATTACAGGTACAATTATTGGTAGCACCACTTAGATTACCTGACAAAGGTTCCCATTTGACATTTATTGTGTCTGGGGTAATTATTCAATCTAAATCCAGGTTTGAAGTGAGGTGAAATGTGTGTTATGTAATATGCACGTGGCAGACCAGCAAGAGGTGAATGATCAGTTGATTTACTTTTTTGTTGTAAATCAACAGATCGTTCCTAGTCATCAAAGGATTAACAGAAAATACGTTGATTGATTAATCACTGTTATCTTGCACAGTGGATATGTCAAAAGTGAGTGTTTACATGTCTAGATTTACTAAAACAAAGGGAATACACTCATATCATGGCGTGAAGTGCCGATGTAAAAACAACATACTTTGTTCAAAGGGTTAACTGATAATACGTTGATTGATTGCTCATTGTTATCTATCTCTCAATGGATTTTTAGGAACCGTGGGCGTTATGAAAATAGTTGTCACGTGGGCTTTCTCAGCCGACCCTTGAGACTTGACACCTATGTTAAACACCTGAAACAATCCGAGTGATCAGTTGAGAAACGAACACGGGTTATAATATCCCGAAACGATATATATCTTTTAAAATATTTGATTGTTACAGAGACACGTGACATCAAATAAGTTTCTTTGTACAGCTGCAGACGAGTGGGATATTGTTCATTTGTGTGGATATTCACGGATACATTCCTCGAACAAGGAAGCTCCTAAAATTTATACACATAAATTTGGTAGGTTGCAATTATGGTATTTGCATTTTGTTTTCCTTCATTTGAACCGATTCGGTCTTGTTTCTCTACCTCTTGGTTGGGAAATTCTTCAATGCGCGATAGACGTTTTTTTCACAGGTCTTTTCCTTTGTAAGCTTGTATATATTACCGTCAATTTGTAAAATGTGATTCTCTCAGGCAATCTATAAAATGTGTAAATATTTCAGTCATTTTGACTAAAAAAACTGTCCAGATTGATTAAGATGATCAAAAGGGCCTACAAACATTACAACAGATTATTATGTAGGATTAGAAGCCACACAACATAGACATGTACTTTTCTCAACGTAACATTTTCAGTCTCTTGGTGATGACATTAAACATCAAAATGTTTGGAATTCGTTATCATAATAATACAGATGGAAATGTTTTTCAGTCACTTTGTAAAATAACTCAATATTTAGACTTTAAAATTAATTTGAAAATGTTACACATTTTGACAGTAAAAAAATATACACACTATAAAAAAAGCAATGCTCAGGTGAAATATTTACTTTGTGTTGCAAGTCAAAATAGTGTTAACGAAAATCGCAAAATTACCAAGCAAGTGACTTATCAAAACTTCGTCACCATTACCGATGCTACCCACAAAGATACCTACATTTCCCTATTATCTCGAAAACTGTATTTTATTTTGTTGATCAATGTGACCATACGCCCTTATTACTACCCATAAAAGTGACTGATGCGCTTACGAATTGCGAAGCAGAGGTCGCGAACTAGTCTAGATTTCTGCTATACATCCGGGTACTCACTGGGAAAAAACAATA